AGCGTATATTACTTTTTTTGTTCATTTATTGGTTCAAAACAACTTGTGAGTATTTTTTTTTTCTGAGTGTTTTAACTAAATCCTGTTTGCTGCTGGAACTTTTCTGCAGTGGAGTAATTTTAAAACAAATCTATATGAAATTTTCCTCTTTTGAAAATGTACAAAACATGTTTTACTGTGTTCTGCTAATTTGTCTTTTTTWAAACTTTTTAAACATGAATGCTGAGATTTCTTTTAAAGATGACTCATAGACAGACTGGAAAAAAATCATGCAGAGATGTGGGCTATGAAGGAGACAAAAGAAAAAAAAAAACAGTTCCAGAGCAGATGAAGGAAAAATTTGCCCCGTATTTTCTAAATGAGCAAGCAGCGTGCTCGGTTTCTGGTTTGGGTTACACCATGATGCAGCTTTTTTCCACTGTGGGGTCTCTGAGCTGTGGTTTTACTATCCCACCATAAGTGTGGTGTTTTGCTTCCATCTGTCAAAAGTAAACAAGCATCTGACCCCGTGTCACCTCGTAGTAAACAGTGGGTCTGAGTTTTCCATTACATTTCTTTAAACGGTTTACAGTAAACCCACAACTCCTAAAAGGCAAATTAAAAACCATAACCTCAGAAGATTGGGTTAGGTTAAGACTCAAAGAGAGAATTTGTTTTTCTATTTATGTTTCTGTTCTCTTTATGAAAAATTTGAACAAACACTGTGATGGACTTGCGACCTGTCCARGGTKTACCCCGCCYCTCGCACTGTGACTGCTGGATATGGGCACCAGTGACCCACGCGACCCTGAAAAGGAAGAAGCGTGTACAGAAAATGGATGGATGGATGGATGGATGGATGAACAAACACATTTATTTAAAGCATATATTCATAGTTATTTATTCACTTCCTTGTCATCCTGCTTTGTTACTTTCAATCACACTGTTACTAATCTTAACACGCATGTTTTGATAACGATTTAATGAAACTAATGTTTTCCACTCTTCTTTAGCTGATTGATTGAACAATACAGAGAAAATCCCCCTAATTTACTAATCTTTACCTAACATTTACCTTCATCTCTCAGGAACTAATGAAATCACCACCATGAAACCAAACTCATCTTCTTCACCTCCTAAGTTTCATGGTAAATTGATTTTCTCACATTTTTCTTCAGTTGAATTATGATTTCACCCTGTTAACAATCTTTCTCAGTGTCTTTTTAAACAACTTTTAAAGTGAAATAAATGGAGATGCTTCCGTTTGCAAAGTAAAGAAATATAATGTTTTAATGCTTTTCTTACAGTATCTAAAATTATTGTTGTGTTTTTGTTGTACATTTGGTTTTAGGTTTGTACAGTCCTTATGACCTATTTTTAATATTGTTTATAATGGAAAATACATATCTAAATGTCATGATGTACAAAACTTATGCAAAGTTTCCTTTTTCCCAGAAAACAGAAAGGAAGTTTTCAAACCTGGGAGCAACGCCAGTTTGACATGCAGTAAAAAGACGTGGAATGAGACTATCTATGTTATCTGGACAATAAACTTGAAACACAAAACCTGTATGATCTCCTTTAGCAATCAAGGTGATAACA